CCTAAATGACTTTAGCTAAATAAAGCAGTTTTAGTGTATAGATCATTCCCCTGCAATTTCACTGCTCAATTCACTGTCATTTAGGAGTTAAATCCCTTTGTTTCTGTTTATGCAGCCCTAGCCACACCTCCCCTGGCTATGATTGACAGAGCCTGCATGAAAAAAAAAACTGGTTTCACTTTCAAACAGATGTAATTTACCTTAAATAATTGTATCTCAATCTCTAAATTGAACTTTAATCACATACAGGAGGATCTTGCAGGGTCTAGCAAGCTATTAACATAGCAGGGGATAAGAAAATCTTAATTAAACAGAACTTGCCATAAAGAAAGCCTAAATAGGGCTCTCTTTACAGGAAGTGTTTATAGAAGGCTGTGCAAGTCACATGCTGGGAGGTGTGACTAGGGTTCATAAACAAAGGGATTTAACTCCTAAATGGCAGAGGATTGAGCAGCGAGGCTGCAGGGGCATGTTATATACACCAAAACTACTTCATTAAGCTAAAAGTTGTTCAGGTGACTATAGTGTCCCTTTAAGGTTCCGAGGCTGACGTTTGGCAACTCGAACCTTCAGCTCCCTTCACAGATTTTCTATAGGATTAAGGTCGTGAGACTGGCTAGGCCACTCCAGGACCTTAATGTGTTTCTTCTTGAGCCACTCCTTTGTTGCCTTGGCTGTGTGTTTTGGGTCATTGTCATGCTGGAATACCCATCCACAACCCATTTTCTATGCCCTGGCTGAGGGAAGGAGGTCCTCACCCAAGATTTGACGGTACATGGTCCCGTCCATCATCCCTTTGATGCATTGCAGTTGTCCTGTCCCCTTAGCAGAAAAACACCCCCAAAGCATAATGCTTCCACCTCCTTATTTGACAGTGGGAATGGTGTTCTTTGGGTCATAAGCAGCATTCCTCCTCCTCCAAACATGGCGAGTGGAGTTGATGCCAAAGAGCTCGATTTTCGTCTCATCTGACCCCAACAGCTTAACTCAATTCTCCTCTGAATCCTTCAGATGTTCATTGGCAAACTTCAGGGCCTGCACATGTGCTTTCTTGAGCATGGGGACCCTGAGGGCTCTGCAGAATTTCAGTCCTTCACGGTGTAGTGTGTTACCAATTGTTTTCTTGGTGACTATGGTCCTAGCTGCCTTGAGATCATTAACAAGATCCTCCCGTGTAGTTCTGGGCTGATTCCCTTACCGTTCTCATGATCATTGAAACTCCACGACCTGAGATCTAGCATGGAGAACCAGACCGAGGGATATGGAAAGTTATCTCACCAACCGTCGTCACCTTCTCACCTGTGACGAGACCAATCTCGCCACTGTGCATTGGAGGAGCCTGGTTGCCCGCCTGCTGCCTTTAGACTATGGACCCATGTTAAAACACTTTATTTTCCCCTGCAAAGACACGAAAGCCGGGTCATTCAGTACTTGCCCTATTTGAACAGTGATACCCCAGATAGCTATGCCATGGAGCCTATTCATATAACGAAAGACTATGGCAAAGACTTTGGCTCCATGGCAATTGAACTGTATGTATGTCATCTGAGCGACATTCAGTAATAAAGTGCGCTCAGATCTAAGCTATCTGGGGATATGTTGAATGTACCTATTTTATGCAATAGCTGCACAGTTATATATTTTTATGTATTTTATTGTCTTTTGCTACCATGTGGCTAATGGAGTTTTGCCTCTCTCCTCGGAGATAATTGGATTACTTCCCAATTATCTCCAGGATAGAAGACTCTGTGGAACTGGTTTTGGGCAGAAAAGCCATGCTTCATTTGGTCACAAAGGACTTCGATCTAACTTTTGACCCACTGGACCAATTTGTATGATTTTTGTGTGAATGTGATGCATACTTTTAAAGTTATGAATATTGCTCCTACATGGGACTGTCCCTTTAACCCATTAAACATGTCACTGTCATTAGGTCACTTTGCTCCTACATGAGACTGTCCCTTTAACCCATTAAACATGTCACTGTCATTAGGTCACTTTGCTCCTACATGAGACTGTCCCTTTAACCCATTAAACATGTCACTGTCATTAGGTCACTTTGCTCCTACATGGGACTGTCTTATGTGAATGTGATGCATACTTTTAAAGTTATGAATATTGTGTAAAACTGTATTTCTCTGCCTGTGATAATTACATTAACCCATTGTGTATGGTAATTGTATCACCGGCAGAGGGGAGGATTTTGTGTGGGAGTGTCTGAGTGTATTGTATGTGTATATTGGTTGTTTTTCAAAACCATGTGGGTGGTACTAATGTGTAAGAATGTGTTCATAAGAACAATAAACCCACAGCTCTGGCTGATTCTGCTTGAACCTCAAAACGAAGTGTCGTCTCGTTATTGGGGGGGATTTATTGTGTGCTGTTCCAGTTTGACTGCTAGGAGTGTAAACCTATTCGTATGGTTTTACCTATTCAGCTGTTTACAGCATTTGTATGGTTCCGGATGAGCTGTTTACGGCATTCATATGGTTTCCTTTTCAGCAGTTTGGTGTCTTTGGTAGCTGCCTGTGTATCTGGAAGGGAATATCTCCTAAACGGCTGTTAACCCTTTTTATGCCTGGGGGTGCCGTTACATCACCAAGCTGCTTGGTGATGGTCTTGTAGCCTGTAACGGACCGTTCTGCTCACCAGAGTTTAAAAACCGTTTAGGCGATATTCCCCTTTCCAGATACACCGATCTCCCGAACTGGAAACACATGAACACTGGAAATATCCAAACAGGAAAACCATACGAAAGGGTTACACTCCGGGCAGTCAGCATACAATCCAATTCCCCCAATAACGAGACGACGGAGTTAAGCAGAATCTCTTTACTGGCACCGAAAGAAACCTTTTATGCAGGTTTCCCTCAGATAGGACCACCCACAGGGTTTTACAAAACAACCAATCATACACGTATATTACAGAAATACTCCCAGCAATTACACAAAAATCCTCCCCTCTGCATGTGATCTAATTATGGCACACAATGGGTTAACATAATTAACACAGGCAGTAAAAATACAGTTTTTATACATATCCTGTAACTTTAAAACCACACATCCAATTTTTTACATATTTAGAATCAGCACACTTAAAACATAAACATAACCAAAAATCAGCCAAATCCATCCAGGGGTTAAAAAGTTAGCTGGAGGTCCCTTTATGACCGACTGCAAGCACATTTTCCTGCCCAAAACAGTTCCATAGATTTGGGCTGTGCGGTCGGTCTATTTCAGGCTGAAAAAACGACTAAGTCCCATCGCCCATCTCTGCGGCTGTAAAATCATTGTGGGAGAAGGTAGGGCTCAGTGGTGTTCACGGAAATGTGTAGCCGATATTAGTTCCATGAATTTGGCTACACATACCGCTGACCTCGTGCGAATGAACAAAGATGGCCGCCACCACGTGTTCGGCAGACGAACAAAGGCCACCCAGCGTTCGGCAATTAAGCTGCGGTTAACTGCGGCTTCTGGGAGGTAAATTGTCGACACACTCCCAATACAGGTGGTCCGCCTGTGTGGTACTTGGTTCAGTAAGCCCCATTTACTGAACCAAGTGGGAAATAGCCAGGAACAAAGGGTTTGAACCAGGTCTGGGGACACAGGGGACACCGTGTTAAAGGGGCAGTGTCCCAAACAAGTCTGGGGACACTGTGTTAAAGGGGCAGTGTCCCAATTTTCCCTATGAACCAAAAAGGTGCTTAAAGGGCCAACACCAGTCCCATAAAACGTACATAAGCCCCAATATACCCACCGACTGTCTTAAAGGGCCATACACACCCAATAAAAGTCCATACGTTTTCACAATCTCCCAGGGGCCATAGTCTAAAGGAAGCAGGCAGGCAACCAGGCTTCTCCAGTGCATAGTGGCAAGGTTGGTTCCGCCACATAGCCCATTCCAGCCTTGTGTAGGTCTACAATCTTGTCCCTGACATCCTTGGCAGCTCTTTGGTCTTAACCATGGTGGAGAGTTTGAAATCTGATTGATTGATTCTGTGGACAGGTGTCTTTTATACAGGCAACGAGCTGAGATTAGGGGGACTACCTTTAAGAGAGTGCTCCTAATCCCAGCTTGTTACCTGTATAAAAGACACCTGGGAGCCAGAAATCTTGCTGATTGATAGAGGATCAAATACGTATTTCACTCATTGACATACAAATCAATTTATAACTTTTTTGACATGCGTTTTTCTGTATTTTCTTTTATTCTGTATTTCACTGTTAAAATACACCTACCATTAAATTATAGACTGATCATTTCTTTGTCAGTGGACAAACATTCAAAATCAGCAGGGGAACAAATCATTTTTTCACTCACTGTAGGTCACTCTGAGGGTCTGTCATGTGACTGTCCCTTTAACCCATTAAACATGTCGCTGTCATTAGGTTACTTTCTTCCTACATGGGACTGTCCCTTTAACCCATTAAACATGTCGCTGTCATTAGGTCACTTTGTTCCTACATGGGACTGTCCCTTTAACCCATTAAACATGTCACTGTCGTTAGGTCACTTTGCTCCTACATGGGACTGTCCCTTTAACCCATTAAACATGTCGCTGTCATTAGGTCACTTTGCTCCTACATGGGACTGTCCCTTTAACCCATTAAACATGTCGCCGTCATTAGGTCATTTTGTTCCTACATGGGACTGTCCCTTTAACCCATTAAACATGTCGCTGTCATTAGGGCACTTTGCTCCTACACGGGACTGTCCCTTTAACCCATTAAACATGTCACTGTCATTAGGTCACTTTGCTCCTACACGGGACTGTCCCTTTAACCCATTAAACATGTCACTGTCATTAGGTGACTTTGTTCCTACATGGGACTGTCCCTTTAACCCATTAAACATGTCACTGTCATTAGGTCACTTTGCTCCTACATGGGATTGTCCCTTTAACCCATTAAACATGTCACTGTCATTAGGTCACTTTGCTCCTACATGGGACTGTCCCTTTAACCCATTAAACATGTCACTGTCATTAGGTCACTTTGCTCCTACATGGGACTGTCCCTTTAACCCATTAAACATGTCGCTGTCAGGTCACTTTGTTCCTACATGGGACAGCAGGAGACAGTCTGGGGTAGAGAGCAGCAGGAAACCGTCTGGGATAAAGCGCAGCAGGAGAGCGTCTGTGACAGAGAGGAGCACGAGACAGTCTAGGACAGAGAGCAGCAGGAGACAGTTTGGGATAGAGACCAGCAGACATTTTGTTTACAATGACTGCTATGCTTGTAAAATGTTGCCTAGAATGTATTTCAATAACTAGAGGGCATGTGCTAGCTCCAGTGCTATGAACTTTATACATTTAAGTTTAGAATTGCTGTATAAAACAAATCTGCGTTTGATATGTAAACTGATTGAGATCTGCTTTGGTGGCTCAGTGAGGAGATGATGCCTTGCAGCGCCTCCCTGTGTTTGTGGTAGAAAAGCCGGCGGGTGAATTAGTGAGAGTCAGCTATTTGCTGGCTGGGAAGATGATGGGAACTCTGTATGCAGTTGGCATTACCGCACATTGTAATTTGGAGTCGCCAGCCTGTAATTAGGAGAATTCGCTGCCTGCTTTGATGTAGCGAAATAATAATCTGTTGTTGCTCACCCTAAGAAACAGCCTGGCCTATAATCTTTATTTACACAGAGCTTTTATTAAAAGATATGTTATTAAATTCTAGTAATCGTATTGCACTCCCTGCAGATGTCACTCGACCCTTGAAATAAAGAGATCAGCCGGTTTCTGTCTCAGAATATAAATCGGATAGAGCGACAGTGATTAACATCGCAAATAGCTAGATACGGCTAGGGTTCGCCTGTCCAGGCAGCACAATTAGCATAATAATCTATCGGACTCGACTCCATTTTAATAAATATTGTAAACATGAGAAGACGACATTTGTTTAAACAGTGACAGTGAGTTATGTATATATATGGTGCCATTAATTAGGTCACTTTGCTCATACATGGGACTGTCCCTTTAAGCCATTAAACATGTCGCTGTCATTAGGTCACTTTGTTCCTACGTGGGACTCTCCCTTTAATCCAGTAAACATGTCTCTGTCATTAGGTCACTTTGCTCCTACATGGGACTGTCCCTTTAACTCATTAAACATGTCGCTGTCATTAGGTCACTTTGCTCCTACATGGGACTGTCCCTTTAACCCATTAAACATGTCACTGTCATTAGGTCACTGTGTTCCTACATAGGACTGTCCCTTTAACCCATTAAACATGTCACTGTCATTAGGTCACTGTGTTCCTACATGGGACTGTCCCTTTAACCCATTAAACATGTCACTGTCATTAGGTCACTGTGTTCCTACATGGGACTGTCCCTTTAACCCATTAAACATGTCACTGTCATTAGGTCACTTTGCTCCTACATGGGACTGTCCCTTTAACCCATTAAACATGTCGCTGTCATTAGGTCACTTTGCTCCTACATGGGACTGTCTCTTTAACCCATTAAACATGTCACTGTCATTAGGTCACTGTGCTCCTACATGGGACTGTCCCTTTAACCCATTAAACATGTCACTGTCATTAGGTCACTTTGTCCTACATGGGACTGTCTCTTTAACCCATTAAACATGTCACTGTCATTAGGTCACTTTATTCCTACATGGGACTGTCCCTTTAACCCATTAAACATGTCACTGTCATTAGGTCACTTTGTTCCTACATTGGACTGTCCCTAATTATAATTTACAAATCTGTTGTTGCTTATTATAAATTCAGCTCCCGTCTTGCATTTTTCCAGTACAAGGAATCTGGCTTCTGTGTCTCCTTGAGACTGGAGCAAAATCTCTTAAATTTTTAGCCGTCTCATTTATCATTCTAATTATTGACCACAAAGTTATTTGGTATTTTGTTAACGCTTCCTGAAGTTCATCTTCCGTGACGTGACTTGATGGCAAACTTAGTATCTTGACATGGAATTGAAAGACTTTATATCTCTGTAAGATAAAGTGCATTGAGTTAGTCTGTGTTCGGATCTCATTGGTGTGAGACGCACTAATATTCCTGGTTTATTATTTGTTAATATTTAAATGATGGAAATAGACCAAGGTTATTCTCTAAAGTGTTTCCCAATTGTGAGAAAAAAAAATTGGGGTTTTGCCAACCGGAGACAGAATATGACATCACTCTGGCATCACTAAAAGGCGCATGAGGGAGCTAAGCAGGGAGATCACTGCTCCCACGCCAGCTGCTCAGAAGCCGCACTGGACCCCAAGAACCGCACGCTCAGCCCAGCAGCCGAACTGGACCACAGGGACATAGAGACTCCATGCCAGCAGTCCCAAAGGTAGGGAGGCTGGGTGGAGTAAAACCAAAAAAGAATAATAAATTGTATGTGTTTGTGTGTCTGTCAAAGAGTATATGTGTGTTTGTCAGTGAGTGTGTATGTGTTTGTCAGTGAGAGTGTATGTGTGTCTGTCAAAGAGTATGTGTGTCTGAGTGTGTCAGTGTGTGTGTCTGAGTGTGTATGTCAGCATGTGTGTGTGTGTATGTCAGTGTGTGTATATGACACCGTGTGTATCTCTCAATGTGTGTATCTGAGTTTGTGTATGTGCATATGTGTGTATCTGTGGGTGCAAGTGTGTGTATATGTCACTGTGTGTATCTGAGTGTGTGTATCTGTGTGTCAAGGTGTGTGTGTGTGTGTGTGTCTGTGTGTATTTGTGTGCCACTATGTGCCAGTGTGTGTATCTGTGTGTCAGCTACATATACACACACACACACACAGATACACACTGACACAGAGATACACACACCTTGACACACAGTCAGACACCAACCCATACAAAAAAATGGACTTTTTTTCCCCTGGGAGGGAGGGGTTTGGGGATTCCACGATGATGATACACTATGTCAAAGGGTCCCATGGGAAAAAGTAATTGGGAACCCCTGCTCTAAAGGATGATTTATGCCAGAATAGCCAAACTGTAAAAATAGCTGACCTTTTAGTTTGTTTGAATTCAGGTGTGTGTATGTGCACTGTCTGTGTTTGAATTCAGTTGTGTGTATGTGCACTGTCTGTGTTTGAATTCAGGTGTGTGTATTTATGTGCACTGTCTGTGTTTGAATTCAGGTGTGTGTATTTATGTGCACTGTCTGTGTTTGAATTCAGGTGTGTGTATTTATGTGCACTGTCTGTGTTTGAATTCAGGTGTGTGTATTTATGTGCACTGTCTGTGTTTGAATTCAGGTGTGTGTATATATGTGCACTATCTGTGTTTTAATTCAGGTGTGTGTCTTTATGTGCACTGTCTGTGTTTGAATTCAGGTGTGTGTCTTTATGTGCACTGTCTGTGTTTGAATTCAGGTGTGTGTCTTTATGTGCACTGTCTGTGTTTGAATTCAGGTGTGTCTTTATGTGCACTGTCTGTGTTTGAATTCAGGTGTGTGTCTTTATGTGCACTGTCTGTGTTTGAATTCAGGTGTGTCTTTATGTGCACTGTCTGTGTTTGAATTCAGGTGTGTGTATTTATGTGCACTGTCTGTGTTTGAATTCAGGTGTGTGTATTTATGTGCACTGTCTGTGTTTGAATTCAGGTGTGTGTATTTATGTGCACTGTCTGTGTTTGAATTCAGGTGTGTGTATATATGTGCACTGTCTGTGTTTGAATTCAGGTGTGTGTATTTATGAGCACTGTCTGTGCTTTAATTCAAGCATTTTGAATTGACTAATATATAATAAAATAGTAGGAGTGTGATCCCAAAATTAAAGACAATTAACCAATATGGCTGCCTCGAACATCTGTAATCCAATGCTTGCTCAATAAATTAGAATCAGTAAGGACTACGGCTCCATGTTACAGGATGGGAGAGAAGTTGGGCCATGTCCTGCAATTACCAAAGAGAAAACAATTGGGGAATTACAGTCCAGTAGGTCATTAATAGCGATAGATCTAATTGATTATATTGAACACGTGTGCGTGATTATATTCTGCAAAACAAGATTGTGAGTGGAAATCAAGACAGTTTTATAAAGCAAATCTCGTGGGTTTTTTATGCCGAAATAAATATGAGTTTGGAACAAGAGCAGAGTCTTGGCTGCGGCAAATTTAGCTGTTGCAGAACATCTGATGCATCGTCAAAGGGCTTGTCAGTAATAAAGATTAATGTTTTAATAAAGCGGCAAAATGATCAGTTTGTTATAAGACAACTGGAGTAACGCTCCCTTTGTTGTAACCGAAGCGGATTGTGTGACCCCATTAAAAGCGAGTAGTTGTAAAACATGCAAATTTCATAGAATTTTACATGTTACTACAAGGGATCTGGATAGATTGGGGGATAGCATCTACTAAAGTTCCAGGTTTTTTTAGGCGATGCCAATCACGCTGAGTTAGACTATTCTGAGAATTGCAGAAACTGAACTTTGGTTGATTCAGAATGACCTTATCCTTTAAAGATAAGACCCGATTCCAGAAATGGTATCTACGGATTAACAAGCAAATCTTCCTGCAGACTGACTGGGCGTATGGAGAGCCGTTCGGTTTCAGACATGGTATAGTTACCTGCTGGTATGGTCCCTTTGATCCACCTGGATGTAGACACAGCCCCAGGGTCTCAGTGAATTCTTCATGGCGCTACATCCGCAGCATTTTGGACAAAAACAAAACACAAAAACAGAACGTTGGAGCAAAGCTTGTGTCTGCCTTTGGAAAGTCCTAAAACGAAGAGAACAGAGATAGGCTCACATCTTGCTATAGTGTAATAAGTGGTAAAATCCGACACTTGTCAAATGTCATGTAGACATTATCACAAAGTGATTAAATTCAATGAGATAAAAGCCTAGTGAGTACTTCAATTAGTGCGACACTAAGTCACTGAATTAAATGCAAGGACAGGTGTAATCAGCTAACTCAGCAAGGACAGGCATAATCAGCTAACGCAGCAAGGACAGGTGTAATCAGGTAAAGCAGGAAGGATAGGTGTAATCAGGTAAAGCAGCAAGGACAGGCGTAATCAGCTAACGCAGCAAGGACAGGCGTAATCAGCTAACGCAGCAAGGACAGGCGTAATCAGCTAACGCAGCAAGGACAGGCGTAATCAGCTAACGCAGCAAGGACAGGTGTAATCAGCTAACGCAGCAAGGACAGGTGTAATCAGGTAAAGCAGGAAGGATAGGTGTAATCAGGTAAAGCAGGAAGGATAGGTGTAATCAGGTAAAGCATCAAGGACAAGCGTAATCAGGTAACGCAGCAAGGACAGGTGTAATCAGGTAAAGCGACAAGGATAGGCTAA